CCCCCGGCCCGACCCCCGTTCCCCCCCCGGCCCGACCTGCAGCGCCGTCCCCGGGCCGGGCCGGGCGGCCAGCAGGGCTACATTGTATCCACCGGCGGCGCGGCGTCCAGCCGTGCGTCGTATCCAATCAGCGCCGTCACCGCCTCGTCCACCCCGCGCGTTCTATCCAATCAGCGTCCCCGCCGCTTTCGGTCGGCGCGTCGCGTCCAATCAGCGGCGGCTCCGTTACGGCGCGGCGGCCGGAAGAGCGAGCGGGCGGGAGGGCGCGGTGCCGGTGGCGGGTTATGGCGGACCCTGAGGAGGGACCCGAGGACGGCTTCTGCCAGCGGTTCGCGGACGAGCTGGAGGTGCTGGCCGAGCTGGGAGGTGGGAGCTGCTCCGGCGCCGTGTCCGATACCGGAGGCGGCGGCGGAAGGAGGGAGGGAGCGGCCGGGCTTTGCGCGGAGCCGCCCGTGCCCCGCTCCACCGTGGGTCTCCCCCGGTGACCGGTTCTCCGTCGCGTAACACCTCTTGCAGATGACCCGTCCCCGCTCGCTGGCCCTAAAATCTCCCAGTTCCGTGGTAGGAGGCAGCCACCGGAGGAGCCCGACCCCCCCGGGGGGCACAACGGCCCGGGGGGCACCAACCCCGGGAAGAGGGACCGGGACTGCGACCCCCCCGGCTCCCCACCACCGTCCGCAGCCCGCAGTAGGTTTGACCCAAGCCAGCTCTGCGGCCCCGGTGGGTGCCCGGGTGCTGCCGACCCTTCATCCCCACCCTGAGCCATGCAGGGTGCTGCTGGAGGGGCAACCGAGTACCACCCTTTGGGTCATCTGTCCTTCTCCTCTTCCTCCTGCCCCGGTGTCTTCGACCCAGCCCCGAAACCGAAGCGACAGCGCCTGGAAGCCGTTAAGAAGCTCAGCTTTGGTGGGGATGATGAGTTGGGTCCTGATGGCCTCCGGGGTGCTGGTCCAGAGGCGCTTTCTGTTCCCCAAGCTGCCAGGTTGGCCACCGTGAACCCCGCTTTTAGCAGGGGCGAGGGAAAGGGCCCTCGAACCCCCACCTTTGGTGGGGTTCGAGGGCCCTTTCCCTCGCCCCTGCTAAAGAAACCTGGTGTTCTCCAGCCTGGAGATAAGTGGCATGGCCCCGCTGCAGACCACGCCGCCCTCCGAGAAGAAGCGGGTCCTCAAGCGGCCACCCATCCTGGAGGACTACGTCAATGTGACGTCCACCGAGGGTACCAGGGTCTTCATGGTCATGAGAGATGATCCCTCTAGGACAGGGGTGCAGGTGAGGAGGGATCTGAAGGCTGGGCTTGCTTCTCTGTGACCTCCATCCAGTTCAGGAGGGGATCTCTGATGAAGCGTGAAATGTTTGTGCTGAGCGTCGGTGTGAACGTTAGTGTGTGTCCTCTGGTCCTGGCAGCTCCCCGATTCCCTGGGCTGGAATGCACGCAGGCCACTCCACTTGCTGGGGGTGCCTTTCTCCTACCTGAAGGAACAAGTGAATGAAGAGGTATCACATCTTATACCGACCTTCCCGTCTTCCCCTGCCACCCCTGGATAGCCACAGCATTGGCCCCCGAATCCCTGTTCCTCCCAGCCCCGGGTTAGTGGGGCGTCTCTGACCCCCCTCTCGCCCTTTTTGTGCTGAAGCGTCGAAGGCGTGTTCTGGAGGCATCGCAGCAGCTGACAGAGATAATAAATAGGTGAGGTGTTGGGACGAAATCCCACTCCTGTCCCTGCCACACTGTCGCATGTGGCTCCCGAGATGCTCCAGTAGGGTCCAGGTTTTGGAGACCTGCGAGCAGAAGAGCTTCTTTGCCTGCAGCATCCCCAGTTTGGGAAGTCCAGATGTAATTCCCAACCCTGCCCTGACTCCCTGGGTGGTTTGGGGCAAGTTAATTCTTTCTTGCAGTTGCCTCGAGAGTGAGACCAGCACCGAGAGCCCAGAACCCAGCGAGGAAGCAGAGCCGGCAGAGGAGGAGTCTGCGCCGCATTGCCTCTGGGTGGACAAGTTCACTCCCCGGCGCTACCTGGAGCTGCTCAGTGATGATGTGAGGTGCTAGGATAAGTGGGGGCTTGGGGTTTTGGGTCCGTTTGCCATTTCTATGACTCTTCCTTAATGCTGTGGGATCAAGGTTTTGTGGTGCTCCCTTTGATCGCAGGGGCTTTTGGAAGCACTGGCTGGGGAGCTCTGTCCGTGCTAGCCCTGCCCGGGGGCAGTCCTGCTGCCGAGAGCTTGGGGTGGGGGTTTTTCAGCTGTAGGCCGTGGACCTTCCAACAGAAGAGACTCTAAAAGATGAGCAAAATAAGACAAAAAAGATTGGGTGGGCTTTAGCCAGGAATCGTTGGCTATTTTGATTTTTTTTGAATATTAGAAGTTTTATAGGGAATTGGAAATTATGGAAAAGGCTGAGGAGCGCTGGGTTGAGCCACGACAGACAAGGGGCAGCAGGGATGGGGCCGATGTGACTTGTCCTCGGTTGCCCTGCGGGATGGTGGCCGAGCCAGGAAAGGAAGCCGCGTTTCCAGGCTGTCCCAGAGAGATGCCAGGTGGAAACCTGAGCAGCCTCTCCCGTGGCATGGGAATGACGTGCCATGCGCTTGAGGTCTGTCTGGGCAGACACGCTCTGTGTTGCCTCCCTGGACTTGGCTTCTTCCTCTGCAGGCCACGCTGGTTTTTAAGCCGTGAAGGAGAGACCTCCTTACGAGGTTTGATGGGGTTTGCTTGCTTTCTTGCCCAACGTGCAGTACACAAACCGCTGCCTTCTGAAGTGGCTCAAGCTCTGGGACACAGTGGTGTTCGGGAAGGAGAATGCTGTGAAGAAGACCAATCCCAATGCCAAGGCTCATCCTCCATTCAGCCAGCCCAAGGAGCAGCAGAATAAGTGGAAAACGAAGGTGCAGCTCACAGAGGAGATTCTGGAGGCTGAGCTGGACCAGCACAAGAGACCCAAGTACAAGGTGAGCAGGGCAGGAGACCGCTGTGGTGGGTCTCCTCTCCAATCCCCCTCATCCCACCACCATGGTGAGGAGCAGGACCTTCCAGTACAGATCCAGGAGAAACTGGATTCCTTGTTTCTCCTTAGAGAATGTGGGGTTTTCTCATTTCTTCTTCTGTTTGGGCTTGGGTAATGCGATAACAAGGGGAGAGGAACAGACTTTTTTCAGCCAAATTAAATGGGCCAGTTAAGGAAAGACATACCCTTTTTAGCAGAGGTTGGTCTTGACATTTTTTGTTAGGGGCAGACATGATGTGTCTTTGAGCTAGACTTTCTGCATCCGGAAGAGAGCAATGATGCTCAAATGCTGAAGGGAGCAGAGATAACTTACCCAGGCCAGTATACCAGCTTCAACTGGTCTAGTGAGAGGATATAAAAAAGGGGAAACGAAAAGATATACTAACAGCATTGCTTCTCAGGAGTGTAATTCTGGAAGGGATTTTGTTCAGCCTTTTCTATCTGTTGCCCTGCAAACTTAAACATGTGCACGAGAGAGGCTGCCAGGATGACTCTGTCACCTCTGAGAGTTTCTGTTACATTCTCCTTGCTCCAGTGACTTTCCCTCCTTCCCATGTGTCTACAATCCAGTGCAGCAGCTCCCAAGACTGGTTTGCAGGTTGCAGAGCCTTATCCCCTCGTGTGGCAGCCTTGGTCAGTGCTGGAGGAAGCCCTGCCTCGCTGCTTGCCGGGCTGAAGTTACCTCTCTGCCGCAGGTAGCCCTGCTCTGCGGCCCACCCGGCTTGGGAAAGACCACGCTGGCCCACGTCATTGCGAAGCACGCGGGGTACAACGCCGTCGAGATGAACGCCAGGTGAGTCCAGCCCTGCCCTGCCCCAGAAGCTGGTGGAGGCGATGCTGTGCCGGAGGCGATGCCGTGCCGGAGGCGATGCCGTGCCGCAGCAGCCTGGCACCCGATTGTCTTGCAGTGACGACCGCAGCCCAGAGGTCTTCAAAACCCGCATCGAAGCTGCCACCCAGATGAAGTCTGTGCTGGGTGCCAACGAGAAGCCCAACTGCCTGATCATCGATGAGATAGACGGCGCGCCCGCAGTAAGCCCAGCCTGGATCTGGCCACCTTTTGCATTAACCGCTTAATTATTGCCCTCTTAGCAGCTCATCCATTTTAGGAGTGGCTTCCTGCCTCTGAACTGCAAGAATTCATCCCTTCTGTCCTTGATTTTTTATTTATTTTTTTTTTTTCCCCCTCCCCAGGCATCTATCAACGTGCTGCTAAACATCATCCACCGTAAGGATGCGGAGGGCGAGGCAGCAGCCGGCACGGGCCGGAGGAGGCGGCGCGAGGACGGACTGTTGCTCAGGCCCATCATCTGCATCTGCAATGACCAGTTAGTATCGACTGTGTGTCTGGGGAGGGATGGAGAGCTGATAGCCCTGCCCCAAGCGAGGAGGCAGCTGCTGTTGCCTCCAGCCAAAGCCTTCCCGTGCCGAGTTATCTGCCGTCAGACCTGCGGCTTAGAAGTACCTTATGAAAAGTAAAACTGCAACGTGCTCAGCTTTCCTGAAACCCGCCAGGTTTTGTATCTGCTGGGGTGACTTGTAGCTAGGTGTGAGCGTACCGTTGCGTTTGCGCGTGCCCAAGCGTGCAGGGGTGTACAAGCATCTGCTAAATAACCCACCTCTCTTTGAGCAGAGCATTAATAGCTGGATTTCTTCCTCTGCTAGGGTCGCTCAGAGACCCCTGTGCTTCCCTTTGCCAGGTACGTCCCTGCTCTCCGGCCGCTGCGGCAGCAATCGTTCCTGCTAAACTTCCCTCGGACGGCGCCGTCCCGGCTCGCCCAGCGGCTCTGTGAGGTGCGGTGCGGCCGAGGGCTCCTCTTGCCCCACCGG